GCAGCAGATGGGGGTTCCCAGGGATGCAGATGCTGAAAGGTATTAGCTGAGACATGGGCACACAACACAAGTGGGCAAAGCAATGGCAGGTAAACTCAGGCAGAAGCCAGAAGCACACACTTGCAGATCAGTCTGATCTGCTACCACGGACTCACCCTACATCCTTAACTTCCACTTTGCTGGGGTCCAGCTCCACATACTTCTTCTGCTCAAACACCCGGTCAATAATGGGGCCCAGGACACCGTGCAGATACCGCATCCCTGCCGCCTACCGTGAGCCACACTGGTCAGTCTCAGGCCTCCCCTGTACATCACCCCCCAGCAGCTGTCCTTCCCAGCTGCCCTGTCACCATCAGCCTGCAGTTTCCACCTGGTACAGGGCCAGGTACACAACCAGGTGCCTTAACAAACTGCTTCGCAGGCTGGGATTTAGCTCAGTGGCACCGCACCTGCCTCGCCAGCACAAGGTCCTGAGTTCGATCCCCAGTACCAAAAACACAAAACAAACAAAACTGCTTCTCCACACTTCATGAAATCATTGGCCTTCAAGGGCCCTGGATACTATGACAGAAGGGGCCTCTCTGCATCTCAGTGTCATCATCTGTAAGAGAGGGATAACATCTACCATGCACCTCACCTTCAGAAAAGACTCCATGGACTTTGAGGCCAGAGAGTTGCTCCGGAACAGGGTGTTGGCCTCACCTACAAATACGCGGGCAGTTAGCAGGCAGCTGGGCAAGGCATTGGGGGAAGGAGGACAGTGGACTTTGGGGGTTCTAAGCAGCCCGCCAGTACATAAAGGGCCTCCTCTGCCCCTTCTCTTTGCCGGCCTCACTCCAGGGGAACCATTAGCCTGCTAAGGAGGCCCCTCCACCCTCCTGGGACAGTTCCCCCGCCTCACTGGTGCGACCCAGCTCCAGCTGAAAGAGCAGATCCAGAAACTCCTTGGCCAGCCCCTGCCCCAAGAAGAGCTTGAGCAGGGTGGTGGCCACCTCCTGGCGGCACTCTGTGCTGGTGGTCTCCTCGATGACCGGGATCAGCTGCCCTGGGCCCTGTAGGAGGCAGCAGGGACAGAGGCGGCCCCAGTCGAGGACCTCAGAGGACCATGGGAAGGGCTGGACCCTGCACTGGGCCAGCACCTTACCAGGCCTACAAATGTTTGCTCTGCAGGATGGGTTCAGGAGATGGAGGGTAGGTCCACCAGCCCTGGGCCCTCCCACCTGCCCCCACTGCTCCCTCACCTGGGTGCCCAGCTTCACCTCCTGGCACAGCAGCTGCACAAGGGGCTGGTAGCAGCCAGAGGGCAGCACCGTCTCGTCCCTCAGCCGAACCTCCAGCTGCAAGGAGCCCAGGTTGCCCCTGGAATGAGTAGCCTATGACCTCTCCACCATGGACCCAGGCCACCCTGGGCCTTGCCCCCTCAAACTACCGTGATTCTTGGCCCCTTGAGCCAGGCTCACAGCCTCTCTGCTCTTGCCCTCCAGCTGCCCGGCTATGCTGCATTCTTTCTTTGGAAGGCCGCCCTTGCTGCCTCAGGGCATGGAAACTCCATCTGTTTTCAAGGCCTGGCTCTCCCTGATGCCTCCAGACTCCAGTGGACCCCAAGCTTGACTCTAATGGGCATGCAAGGTTCCCTGATCTTGGATCTGTGAACACCAAGATGGGACAGCAGTGGGTGGATCTCAGTGGCAGAGTGCTTCCCTAGCATGGACAAAGCCCTGGGTTCCAGCCCCAGACTGGAAAAAAAAAAAAAACTCCCAGATAACAATACCTTCCTGTGTACCTTTTTGCTTACATGCAGTTTCCTAGACCTTGTAATAATCTGCCAGGGCTGGACATGGTGGTGCACACCAGAAATCCCAGCAATCATAGAGGCTGAGACAGGAAGATCTAAAGTTCAAGTGTAGCTGGTCAACTTAGCAACTTAGTGAGACCCTGTCTTAAAATAAAAAAAGTAGGGCCAGGGATTTAGCTCAGTGGTTCTGCCGCCTGCCTTGCAAGCACAAAGACCTGAGTTCAATCCCCGGTACCAAAATAAATAAATAAATAAATAAATAAGTAAATAAATAAAAATAAAAAAAGTAGAGAGAGAGGGGTGGGGTACTGAAAGAAAAAAAGGAAAAGGAATGAGGGAGGAGGGGATGAAGGGAACAAAGGAAAGGAAATCCTGCCAGGGAAACTGAGGCTGGGGCAGGCTAAGCAACTTGCCACAGCAGATCTAACCTGTAGGATTCCTTGCTGTGACCTCTGGGTGAGGGCATCCAAGGCTACCATCCCCCACAGCCCTGGCTGCTCCACACACAGCCCCGGAGCTCATGCATGGCACGAGCTGTCAAGGTGGCCCTGGGCTGCCTCTTCGGAGTCAGCTCCTGTGGCATCCACACCCAGCCACCCACCCCTGCACTGTTAAGGGTGTGATGGGGACCTGGGGCCTTCTGCAGAGAGCCAAAACCAAACCATCTAAGGGGATACAAGGATATACAAGCAGGCCAACGTTTTTATGTCTCCCATATTTGCACGATCACTTTTATACTGAGAAAATATCTGAAATTCAGGGTTTTTTGTTTTGTTTTGTTTTGTTTCACAGCCCTAGGGATTGAACACAGGGCCTCACACTTGTTTGACAAATGCTGTTAACTAAGCTACATGCCCCCGTCCTTTTTTAAAATTTTGGGACAAGGTCTTGCTAGGTTGCACAGGCTGGTCTTGAACTTATGAACCTCCTGCCTCAGCCTCAAGAGCACCTGGAAATACAGGTGCACACCACCTCACTTGGTTTGAAACTCAGTTTTAACTGGGGGTCCCATCTTTCACCTGGCAGAACTGTTCCTGGGGAATCTCTTGGAGGGAGCGTCAGAGCCATGCTCAGGACATTGACCCTGGGGATGAGAATCCTGGCTCTGAAGTCTGCAGGGAAGCCCAAGATGGAAAGCATCTGAAGGCTTCTTCTAAACCTGTACCTTGCCTGAAGGCAGAAAGCAGACTAGCGTGGTCCTAGGGCTCAGAGGACAAGGCTGACACAGTGGGATTTCAGGAAAGGAGAGAGGTGGGTCCTGGCCTGGCAGGCAATTGGCTGCAGGAAACACAGGGCCACATGCCTGACCCCTGACCCCTGACCCCACCAGCAGCCAACTCTAAAGCTTCACCCTCTCCACCCCAGCCCCATTGCCAAGCTGCACACTCACTCAGCCCGCTGGTTCTTGGACTGGTCGGGCTGCAGCCGGAACCAGCCCTCCTCCTGCTGGACTGCACGCACTCTCTGGATGTTGACCACCACCTGCAGGCAAGGCAGACGGTGTGGGGACACTTGGGTCTCTTCCTTGCACGGACTGACCTCTGAAGGCGGAAGGTCACCTTCCAAGGGCCCCTGAGCCTATGTGGCAGTGGGGGACAGCCGCTAGTCCTGGGAGCATCAGGCTCCCTGGGTATCCTCAGGGAGGTGGAAGCGGGGCCCTGAGGACACCAGCTGTGGCAGGTGCATGCAGCCTGCAAGGGTGGGGTGTTGCTCACTTTGCCCAGGAAGTCATTTCGGCTGACCAGGTCCCAGTCCCAGGCCTCCACACACAGCGCCTCTGTGGACCCCTCCTCCAGCTCAAATTCAAACGTCTCATTCCAGCGTGGATAGCAGGATTTCTTTATCACCTGCCCAGAGAGGGGTTGGTGGGAGTAGGGCTCACTGCACCCGGCTCCTTGGGCCCAGGTAAGGGCAGAGCCCCTGAAACACCTCCACTGGCTCTGCCAAGAGTCCACAGAGCCTTGCTGTGTAATTCAAACTGACCTTGAACTCACTATGTGGCCCACACTGACCTTCAACTAACTCATGGCGATCCTCCTGCCTCAGCCTCTCAAGTGCTGGGATTATAGGCGTGCACCACCAGGCCCAGCTTTAGATGGGAAATTTGAGGCCCAGACTGGGGAACAGACTTATCCAGGGCAGAGCAAAACAGCAGCCTCAAAGAACCTAAATCTCAACCCCCGTGCAACTGTGCTCACTGCCCAGGCTGTTCCCAGAGGTGACGAAAAGAGAGGGGAGCGGTTGGACCATGCAGATTATACCCACTCCGGCTGTCTGCGACTCACCCTGCCCACTCCAGTGTGGCTAGGCAAGAAGAGGGTTGGAGACAGAAAGGCTCCTCCCAAAGACTATGGTTCTGACCTGATTCCTGACCTTGCGGGTGAGGGTCAGGTGGTGGCAAGGAGGTCAGCTGCTAGGACAGGGCCAGGCAAGGGTCCCTGGGCTCACGCCCCACCCCAGCCCACTGGCCTCCTCACCGAGGTCTCCTGCGTCCGGCCATTGTAGCGCACGCGGACAAAGGGGTCAGATGCACCATTCCGGTCCTTCGGGGCTAGGTCCCTGGTGCCAAGATGGGACAGAGATTACCCACTTGTCACCTGGGGCCAGCAAGGTAGCACTTCCCCAGAAATGTGTCCTGCTAGGGTGGGTGACACGCAGCCCTAGGCAACCTGCTCTGTGCAGGTGATCTTTACAATGTCCAAATCAGCTCCCAGCAGCCCCCTGAGGAAAAACAACACAGCCCACCCTGCCTCTCTCTAAATATTTTCTACCTGCTTTTTTTCATGTTTTAAATTTAAATTGTTCATCTCTGTCCCCTGCACAGATACTGGGGAATAAACCCAGAGCCCTATACACCAAGCTACATTTCCAGCTCTTTTTCATTTTGAGAGAAAGTCACACTAAATCACTAAGCTGTTCAGGCTGGGACGGAACTTGTGATCCTCCTGCTTCAGCCTCCCAGAGTGCTTGCATTATAGGTGCACACCAGCACACCTGGCTTTTCTTTCTCCCCTTAAAACTGTCTAAGGGGCCGAGGCTGCTGTGGTATATAATGCTAGCATGTAGGATGCCCTGAGATCAACCTCAGCACTGCATACACGCACACATGCGTGTACACACACACACACACACACACACACACACACACACACACACACACACGAAACCAACTATTAAAACTCCAAGGTTTGGCCTTGAGCAGTTTGGCCAGGAATGATCAGGAGAGCATGTTTTTGCTGCCTTTGCAACGAATGAAGTTTCTTAGGTGTCTCAAGGTCCCAGCAGGATCTCAGGGCTGAGGACAACAGGGAACAAGTCCCCTTCCCTTCACCATAAAGAGAGGCCAGGGCTGCTCAGGGGAAGCTAGATTGGAGCATGGGGGTGAGACTGCTGCTCTGCCCTAGTCCAGAGGTTTCTACCACCCCATCCTGTGGACAGAAAGAGAAGGGTGGGGACAGGCTCAAGGCATCCATCACCCGCCCCACACTCTGAATTTGCAGGGGAGAAGTCTTCCTCCCTCCCAGAAGGGGTGACCATGCCAGGGTAAGGGGCCCTGGTCCAGGGGTGCTGGCTGGGGAGGGGCTCCCAGGAGGGGATCTGGAGGCTGAAGGGAAGGCACCTCTCACAGAGAACATATGACTCACACCCCAACCCAGACAGGAGTGGGCTGCAGCTAAAAATACCCTGGGGGAGGGGGGTGACCCTGTCATAGGTGACTCAGGCCCACAGAGCCATGGAAGCCACTGCCCCAACCCCAGGCTGGAGATTTTCAGCAACTTTTCACCCTACACCCCACCGAAGATCAGTATACATGCAAGCGCATACACACACACACACACACACACACACACACACACACACACACACAGCCAACTCACTCTGGGCTTAACGCGGGGAAGGAAGGCAGTGGAGCTGTATTCACACAGTTCAGGGTCCCCTGAATACACACACACACACCCACACACACACACAGGGCCAACTCACTCTGGGCTTAACGCGGGGAAGGAAGGCAGTGGAGCTGTATTCACACAGTTCAGGGTCCCCTGAATCCCCAGCCCCATGCCCTTTGGTACCAAAGCTCCACCATCAGAACAGCATAGCCTCCCCAAAGGTCACGTCCCTGAACAGAGGTCCCCAAACAGGTCTGAGTCAGGACAAGTGTGTGTGTGTGTGTGTGTGTGTGTGTGTGTGTGCGCGCGCGCGCACGCGCACGTGTTCAGGGCTGAATCCAGGGCCTTTGAACCAAGCTATATCCTCGTGCCTTTCCCCTATACTTTGAGATAGCCTCACTATGTTACCAGGGTTGGGCTTCAACTTGGAATCCTCCTGCCTCAGCATCCAGAGTGCTGGGATTACATGGGAAGAAGCTCTGGGCCCCAAAGGTGGAGGAGCCTCCCCAGTTCCCACACCTCACCTGGCCTCCAGGACAGAGCAGCGCAGCCGGCAGGCCCCGGCCCCTGGCAGCAACTCCAGCCGCAGATGGATCTCGCCTTGCACCTCCTCATCTGGATCGACCTCAGTCAGGTGGGCCCAGCCGGTAAAACCTGCAGGAATACAGCTTAGGGGGTCCTGGCTGGTCCCCTGCACATCCTCTACCCACATCCTCCACCACCACGGGAACGCTCCGAGCACTTATGAGCGAAGCTGTGTTCTCATTGGGAAGCTGAGGGCAGAGCAGCAGCAGTGAGAACAGCGAGGATGAGAATCTGAATCCAGATCCATGGGCCTGGGCCTCACTATCCTCCTGTGCTGCATCTGATGCATCTAATGGGGCTGCGCTCTGTCCTCAGTTTCCCCACCTTGCAACAGGCCAGTAGCTCTCCCGGGGCCTGATCCCCAGACAGGGGAGGTTCCAGAGGGCCCAGGGATCATCATCACTGGGGTACCAGCACCCCAGAGGGAGGGCAGGGCAGAGGCTCTGAGTCAGCAGAGCCTGCCGAGTCCCCACGCCAGGCCCAGCCTCACAAACAGGAGCAGGTGTGCACTGGAAGCTGGCGAGAGGTTCCCCAGGCTCTGAGGCAGAGCCCAGAGAAGCAACGACCTACCCCAAGGTCACACAGCAAGGTAAGGTGTGCATTGCAGGAAAAATCCAAGGGGCTCCTCAGCCTGGACCAGTGCTGCCAGCCCCTCAGGCCCAGGACAGCCAAGCACCGAGGCTCCAACAGGCCCTGACTAGGAGGGTTCCCTGCGTCTCAGCAAGGTGCACAGGAGGCACCTTCCTCCATCAGCAGGAACCTCGGATCCCGCCATTAGCAGCCCCTCTTCCCCCAGGGAGGTGCAATCCCCACCTGGAGCCCAGAGGCTTTCCCTGGGCTTGGGGACCAGGAGGCCAGAGTGCCTGGGAGTGGGCAGGGATCTTACCCTTGGGGAGAGAGGCCAGCGTGTCCCTCGTGAGGCAGACCTTGCCGATCACATCGTCCCGGCTGGGGGCAGAGGCAGAGTCAGAGAGGTCCCAGCTGCCTCCCGTGGCTCAGGGGCCCCTGTCTCCCAGAGCAGCTCTACCCAGGACGCTGCTGTAAGTCCTGGACTGTGACACTCGTGGGCACAGGACCAAGCTCATGCCCTCTGGGAGCCCACTCCATCACTCATTTCCACACACACCTGCACCCATCTGCATGCACAGGCACATACATCATGAATTTACACACACACACTCCAGCCTCCCAGGGACGAGCAGCTAGCAGGGGAGGGGGCTGGGGAGCCACACACCCACCTGAGAGCATCTTCATCCATGACGTAGAAGGCCACAGCGTGGAAGGTGGGCGGCAAGTGCACTTGGTACTCCTCACCCCAGAAGGGGCACAGGGTCTTCCACACGGTGGCCGTCCTGCAGGAGGGGACCCCAGCACTTGCCCCAGCCACCCCAGCAACAACTGGCTGTGGGGTGCTTTTCCTCACCCCAGATCCCACCATCCCCAGGAGCCATACATCAGTCCCTGCTCTTCCTCTCTGTGCTGCATAGATGGGGCATGGGCCATGTCACACTTGGGGAAACTGAGGCCACATTTAGAAGGCGCTGGTCTCAAGTCACAGGGCAGGACAGAAGAGTTAGGACCACAAGCCTGGCTTCCCAGCTTCACCCAGCTGTGGCCAAACCCCCAAGATCAGACTTTAACACACAGGACTCAGTAGAACAAGTGTGTGGAGGAGCTGAAGCCACCACGGTCCCAGATGAAGGCACAGGGATCACCTTCACCCTGCTGCTGCTCTAGCAGGTCATGTAGGCTCTGGGGCCTTGGTTTCCCCATCTGTATTGAGAAGATCAGAGCAACCATGCCCTGCCCCACTTGCTGCCTGCAGCATGGAGAAGGGTCACACAGCAGGAGGGGTCATTCATCACTGTGAGACTTGCCAGGCAGGGGGAGAAGGGAATTGAGTTCCGATTTTGTGACTGAGTATGCGACCTTGGACAATCAGAGCAAATGCCCTGCCCCACTTGCTGCCTGCAGCATGGAGAAGGGTCACACAGCAGGAGGGGTCATTCATCACTGTGAGACTTGCCAGGCAGGGGGAGAAGGGAATTGAGTTCCGATTTTGTGACTGAGTATGCGACCTTGGACAAGTTATTCAGCCTGAACCTCAGTTTTCTGTCTGTCGGTGGGGTTTAATGACAATGTGTGCAGCTCACTATAATGAATGAAACAGGCCAGCAAAGGCTCAGCACCAGCCCAGTGGAGCCACATAAATGACAGCTGCAGTGACTAATCACTGTCATCTGTCTCTCTCGGGGGTGCAAAGGCTGCAGAGATGAACAGAGGCAGATGAGAGGCCCTTGGCCTGGTGCCCAGCAGGCAGCAGTTAACGCCTGGAGGGGCATTCGGGTCAGTAATTAGCAAGATGTTGCAGGCTGGTCTCTCTTTCCCTGGGCTGGGGACAGAGCCTAGGCCCTAGGCAAGCGCTCTACCACGGAGCTGCGCCCCAACCCAAGCTTGGCCCGTCACCTCCTAGCTGGTGCATCCGGGCATACAGGGCCCCGTCACTGCCCAGCTCCTCAGGAACAGCAGGTGGCTGGGTGAGCGGAGGTAGCCCCAGGCCTGGGTGGGCTCCTACCTGATGATGGGCTCACTGTCCACCTTCACAATGCAGTAGGGGTCACTGCTTCCAGTGCTGTAGGAGAGAGAGGCAAGGGGCAGGGCTGGTGGGGGGGTCCCAGGACCCCAGAAAAGAGGATAATGAAGGTTGCAGCACAGAGTGCTGGGCTGGAGCCCCAAGGCTTCTCAGGCTTGAATATGTGCCCCATCCTTAGTGGGGGGACAGGGGCTCCCCATCCATGGGCAGGGGTGCTCCTCTTTCCTGCCCACTCTCACCCCACCCAAAGACTGTGTCCCAGCAACAGCCCAGGCATCTCTGGACAGCTCCACCCTGAACTCTCAGGTCCAGACTCTCACGCTCTGAGCCCTTTGCCTCTGCTGTCCCTGCACCCTCCTTTAAGAACATTCCCTTGAGCCAGGAATGGTGGCACAGGCAGGCAGGAGAATCACAAATCCCAGCCCAGCCTGGGCAAGTCATCAATTTAGCACCCCCCCAAAAAAAATTAAAAAGGACTGGGGATGTAGCTCAGTGCAAAGGCTATGGGCTCAATCCCTAGTACGGCTTTTAAAAAAAAGTAAAGCCCCCAGTCCCTGAGACTGGAATGAAGGGGTCCCCCCACCCTTCTCCCCACTGTTTCTACCCACCCCGGGACTAGGTACCAAAGTGTGAGGCTGTCCCCTGCTGCCTTCCCCACCTACCGAGGGTGGAGAACCTTTCTGGGTCCCCAGGGCCTAGGACAGGGCTTGACACAGACGTGTTCCCTAAATGCTCACAGAGGGGGCGAACGAGTACACAAAGGAGTCCAGCAACTTGCGGTCCAGGTCTGCTGGGTCCGTCTATCTCAGGGTGATGGGACTGGGCGGGGGGTTGGCTCCAGCCAGGGCAGGTGTGCAGGTTGTGTGTGTGTGCATGTGTGTGTCTAGAAGTGTCCCTCCAGCCCAACCTCCATAAAAAGGAAGTGCATTTACATGCAGACGGCTGGGGAATTCTAGCTTCTACTTCCCAATTCCTTTAGAGGGCTCTTCCTGGAGCAGATACCACAGGGTGCCACCTCCAAAAGTCCTCCTGACACAGACAGGAAATGTCCCCTAAGGCTGTTTCAGCTTCCATAAAGTGGGAACTGTGAGCCCAGCTGCCCAGGGTCCCTGAGATGTCACGGGAGGAGCGCTCAGTGAACGTGAGCACTGCCTGTAACGGCCCCCAATTATGCAGCCACAACCCAAAGGCCCCCTTCTCTAGGGAGCCTCCTGGGAACACCCTGCTTAGGCCCAGGTCCAAAGCCAAGGCTGGGAGTGCAGCTCAGGCCTCTGTGCATCCCATGAACTGGGCTGGGCTGCAGGTCCAGCAGGCAATGGTGTATTTGTACAAGGAACTCAGAGGAAGAAGGGAGAGTTTGTCAGGTGAGGTGACAGGGACCTCACTGGGCTGTGTCCTGGGACAGCGTCCCCTCTGCCCTGCTACAGCCTCTCGGCCTGGGGCCCCAGGCTGGGAATCTCGGTTCCTCCCTCCAGCGCAGCACAGCCCAGGGCTAAGCTCCCACCCTGTGAATGAACAGGACCCAGGCGAGCAGGACAGAGGGCTGTGGGGGAACAGTGTCAAAAGAGGGCTGTGGTGGCACACGGGTACACACCTGTAGCCCCATCACTCGGGAGGATGCAAAGTTCCAGCCCCACCTGGGCAGATGAGCGACTTAACAACTGCGAGCCTCAAAAATAATGAAAAGGGCTGGGGATATAGCTCAGTTGGAAGGCCCTGGGTTTAACCCCAGTACTGAAATAAAAAAATAAATACCCAGTCGCCACTGGCCTGGTCTGGCCTCTATATTTAGGGCCTTGGCAGTGCCTAGGAGGAAGGAGAGGGCAAACCCTGAAATAGCCCTGGGCGTGGGAGCCAGGGGTCACTGGTCACCGTGGGACTCAGCTCCTGCCCAGCTGAGCCAGGTATAGCGATGGGAGATAGGGGTGGGGCAGGGGCACCAGGGCTGCTCTGAGCTTTGAAGAGGAGTGGAAACCCTGGTGTGGAAGTGGCAGGACGCAGTGACAGCTGGGTACAGAGGGCTCACTCCTCAGAATTCAGTCAAGACTGACCACTAGGAGAGGTAGTGAGCTCCCCGTCCTTGATGCTGCTCAGCAGACCGGCCTGAGGCTGGTGAGGCACAGGGAGGTGGGCTTCTCTCCACCCCTGCTTTGATGACAAGATGAGGCTTCCCCAAACCCCAGCATGGATAGGGAGGCTCAGCCCTAAGGAGCCCCACAGCAAGCATGCAGGCAGCAGGTCCCTGTATGCAAACAGGAGGTCTGCCTTAGAGAGCTAATTCCAGCCCAAACTGCGAAGGCCCTCACCGCTCTTCTCCCAGGTCCCTAACCTGTGAGCGCTAGTACCTGAAAGGTCAAATGCTACACCCAAACTTCCACACACCCTCCACCTCAGGCTGCAGGGCGAGGACAGGAACCAGGGACCTGCCCAAGGGCACTAGGGAAAGGAGAAAAGTTTGAGAAGGGTCCTGAAGGATGCACAGGAGTTTTCTGGAGGACATCAAGGGTGGGCTGTGGAGGGAGCTGGCAAAATGTGGGAGTTGGGGCTTAGGAAACAGCTTAAGGGACAGTGGACAGAGGGAGCTGCATACAGTTGTCACTTTGGGGAAGGCAAGGGAGAGGCAGCAAGGGGCATGAGAAGAGGGGAAGAGGGCAGGACCAAGAGCAGGCGGGCGGGGGGTACTCCTGAGGATGAAGTCCCCTGCCAGGTCCCTGGGCTGTGCAGACAGGGAGCAGCATGGTTCCTGATACCCCAGGTAGGCCCAGCCCATTAGCTTCAGAGGCAGCTGCTACAGGGCTGGAGAGGGAGGTGACAGACGGAGGGGCTGCTCCTCCCAGCCACCACCAGCCAGAGGAGGCCAAGATGACCTAGTTACAGAGCACCGGGTGGGGTGGAGTGGGGTGAGTGGTGGCTACAGCCCCGGCCTGGGGCTGCGACCCTCCCTAGAGCTCCTCTGCCTTCCCACTCGAAGAACTCCTTCCTAGCTCTACCCACTCCTCTGTTGCAGAAACCCACCTTGCGATGGCCTGCCCCTCCCTAACCATTGCCATGGCAACCGCAGAGCCCAGCCTGGCAGGCCCAGGGGGCCTTGAACTAGAACCACTACTGGCGCTGAGCATTCTGGGAAGCTTACCAGGGCGACTGTTCGTGAGCAGTGCATGCTCAGCCCCCTCCCAGCTCCCCATTTCTGGCGGCCACTTCTCTGTCTCCCAGAGGCCTGCTGGGGGCCCCATGGACAGCGAGGCTACAGCCTGGCGGACTTTGGACCTTGTGCCTCTCTCGAACAGCCAGTGTCCCCAGAGTTCTGTGCTTCCCAGCACTCCCTAGGGAGATGTAAGACACACACACACACACACACACACACACACACACACACACACATACACACACCCCACCACCAGTTCACAGAAACGGAAACTGAGGCTTCATCAGCAAGGAGATGCCTAAGGCTGCACATGAGGAAAGCAGAAACTCAGCCAATATGGGGAGTGGTGGGTCGGGCAGGTCAGCCTGGGACCTATTGAGAAGGCAAGACAAAGGCCCTGTTCCTAAAGGCTCCCCTAATCCTGCAGGACCAGGGAAGCCCTGAAGATGTCAGTGCCCCAGACTCAAGCCTTTGCTCTGCCCTCTTGGAGAGAGGGCTGCAGGCCTGAGTCTCAGTTTTCTCATCTGTAAAATGGAATGGTGAGCCAGATGTCATGGTGCACGCCTGTGATCCCAGAAAATGCTGGGAGGTTTAGGCAGGAGGATCACAAGTTCAAGCCCAACCTGAGCAACTTAAGGAGGCCCTGTCCCAAAATTTTAAAGGGAGGTGAGGGCTGGGTCTATAGCCCAATGCAAAGGCCCTGGGTTCAATCACCAGTGCTACAAACACAAACACTCACACTCACACACACAGAGGAATGGTGAAACGTGGGTGCTGGATGGATGTGGAGATTGAAGCCTTGGCTCAGGCAAAGGAAGGGCACAGCCACACTATCACCCATGCCCCAATCTGCCCATGCCTTCTTAGCCTCCAACTTCAATCGTGCTCTGTCAGCCACCCCCACCCTACCAGGTGCCCGGCAGGAAGTCCCAGTACTGCCCCTGGCCCCAGCAGTTCCAGGCGCACACTTCAGATGGCTGGGCTTGGAGCGCAGGCGACCCTGATTCTAGGAGGACCCCGCCCCTTCCATTCACACCCAGGGCCTGTTGTCTGCGATGTCACCCGCGCCAGACCCTGTCTAGCCAAGCCCCTTCCTCTCACGAGCCGCGGGGCACTGAGCCCCCTGCAGGTCCGCAACCCCTCTCTCCTGTCCAGTGTCTGCAGCAAATCTCACTGTCCCCAATTTCCCAGCCACTCGCCACACCCTCGCCTCTGCTGTCCTTGTGGGAAGGCCATGGGGACCCCGGAAAGGTCAGGCGTCGAGAGGGACAGGGTCCTTCCCGGAAAGTTAGGGCGCCCACCCCTGGCGCGCTCACATGTCCTTGGCGGGCAGGTTCTTCCCCTCCACGATGCGGATGGACAGCGAGCTGCGCTTTGCCATCGCGACTCCGCGACACGGCAACAGGACCGCGGGGTCCCGGAGACTCGGGAACAGGATGGCGGGGGTCCCAGCGCCTGCGAGGACAGGAGAGGAGCGCGGGGGTGGGGAAATCGCTTCCACTCCATTCCCCAGCCCCCGCCCCACGTGCGGGGGGGGATATTTCGCGGAGGAGAGCCAATCAGTGGCAGGGGTTCCCTGCGTGGGCGGGGCCTGCCTGCACCTCGGCGCTCATTGGCTGCATGGGGCGTGGCGGGGTGGGGCCTGCACGGAGGTGCCTACGCCTGAAGGGCTCCCTGAGAGCCAGCGGGGGCGGTGGGACCGGGGAGCCTGCGGAAACCTGGGATTCCGGGCGGGTCGCGGGGGCGGTCGGCCTGGATGCTCCAGGATATAGAGGCCCGGGAGGGTGCAAAAGGAGGTGAGTAAAGTGCACGCCTGTAATCCCAGCACCCTGGGAGGCTGAGGCAGGAGGATGCCAAATTAGCGCCCAGCCTGGGCAATTTAGCGAGACCTTGTCTCAAAATAAATTAAAAGCGAGGTGGGGGGG